CCCCCCCCCCCCCCCCCGACAAAGCCCATGACCTCTATTGCCTCATCGTGTCTACTTGTACGTACTGCTTTATCCTTTTGGCTTTATCAGACCCGAGTCCCTGCCATTCAGTCCTTACAGACCATTCCCCGTCTCTTTCTCTGTTCGTCCTTCTGTCATAGTCCAATCACTTGTCTTGCATTCGCCACATTAACCTCGCTGACCAATGACGACATTTAGAGATGTGAAGCTTTTATAGGTGTGAAGCTTTAGTATATTGTTTTAATTATCATTGCTATCTATTTATAGGTATTTTGCCAATTGTCGATTCTACTTTTGTCCCGGTAAACTTTATAAAATATAAGAGGCCATGTCAGACAGAGATTATTTTTTTTTTGATAAAGCCAAGTCGAAAGAAAGTTAACAGCAATGTCGTCCATCATTTACAATACGGGGAAGAAGAGGTTTGGACTGGCAACACCTAGTAACACAGAAAGAAAACAAGGACGCAATAACTGCAGACAAAAGAAACTCAAGATATTGAGAAGCGACTTGCCGAAGGTTACCAAACAATTGTTTAAGAAGATGTGAGAAGATTCCATTGAAGGAGTTGAAACAAAAATTCGGGAAAAGTTGATAATACTGTCAGGAGTAGAAGTAGGAGGGACAGGAAGAAGAGAGCAAAAGAGAGAACAAGGTTCATAAAAAAAAACCTTCCCAGAGAGAAAATGTTTGAGACAGATTCAAAGGAAGTCGTTTCAAGAAGAACATCTCAGAAAGATCCATGGCGATGAGAGACGTGGGGAAGATTAAGGCAATTGGGAGACGCTTTCTAAAACTGGAAGCACCAAGAGAAAGAAGCCTTTGACGAATCAGATCTAAAAGTTCAGGAGGTAAAATAAAAGAGTGTAGGACCTATACCTTACCGAGTGTATAAGAACTGTCCAAAATAGACCACAAAGTTATAGACTTGGTGTGATTTGGAGAGGAAAAGGATATCCATTGCAAAGGGTAGACGGTTGTTTCATTCCTAAGGAAAAGAACCATTTCTCTATTGGACTTAGAGCGATGTTGAGAGAATACCTAGATTGAGACTAGAGCACGGCAGCGACGTGAAGCTGGGTAACTAACAGGATGTACTGGGTCAATTTTCTTGTTTGCTGCAGCTATGAATCTCATCGTAATGCCAACGGGAAGGTCTTATAAGAGTATGTATGGACGATATGCCAGCGACAGCATATACTGGAGTTAGAAGGAATGGTAACTTGGGCAATGATTAAGTTTAAACCTAGCAAATCAAGAAGTTTGTTGATGGGGAAGCAAGGTGAAAGACGAGACATATAGTTAGTTGAAGGAAGATACCAACAGTGACCGAGCAACCGGAATGTGCTCGAGGAAAAAGTTTTATGCTACCTTAGTTGAAACTATTTTCCCGCGGCACAATGTATTGGATCTCTCAGCTTTTTTACATACGCTGAATGCAATATAGCAACCAGTCAATCAAATTGCAGCATCCTCATTAAATGTGGGTAGAAATTGGCGATCATCGAACCCGAGAGAGGCACTTGGATAAATAGTACATCAGCCACGTTTGATCAAAATCTGATCTTTTATCACGACACACAACAAGAGGCCCAATGGGCCTGCATCGCTCACCTGGTATTAATCTCACACTTGCTCTTAAAAGTGGACTAAAATACAGCTACAGGCAGAATACCAGTGTTTGATTCATCAGAACCTATTGAAAGATTTAAACATATGACGCCTGTGCCCTTGATTGTCGAACAAGGACATTATAATATTAGGTTGAACAGAGTTTATAGTCTTCTAACCCAGCATGCTTCTGGCAAAATATCATTACCCTGGACCTTTTGGTTATACAGAACAAATCATTTAAATATTTAAACATCTATTGACCACTGTGACCTTGAATATGGGCGAAGGTCATTCACTTGGTAGCCCTTCATCCCAGCATGTTAATGGCCAAATAGTATCACCATTGGCCTTTTGCTTATTAAGAAGAAGTCATTCAATGGTTTTAAACATATTTGACCCCTGTGTCCTTAAATATATGTCAAGGTCATTCATTTGAACTTGGTAGTCCTTCATCCCAGCATGTTACTGGCATTATCCTATGCCTCTTGGTTATTCATAAGTTGTTTAAAGGTTTAGAACATATTTGACCCCTGTGACCTTGAAAAATGATTAAAATAATCCATTTGAACAGACTTTAT